GGGGGGCGAGGAGGGCGAGGGGGGGCGAGGCGAGGAAAGGGGCGGACAGCACCGTGGGAGGGACAGCGCACAGATGTTCGACTGGCGCTGCTCTCACGGGCGCGGGCGGGCGAGCAATTGCGCGAGGGAGCACTCCCCAGGAGCTCCGACGTTATGTAGACATCACGCGGGGCGCCAATTTACTCGCGGACATTTGTCTCTCTGAAGGAAGTGTTCTGCCTTAGAAGGAAAACCCAGAAAATATGATTTCAGAATTGCTACCAAAAGTTTCTGGTTTTTGTGAGCTAAATAACATTTTGAAGATAATTCGATATTTCCTAATTTTACACATCATAATTGTCGATATTTTTACGTAAATAAACATTTCTGAAAAAATTAATACGATACATGGATTGTAAAAGAAAGATAAACTAGTGGTGCTACCAAAGCACATACTTTCTCCTATTGTTTCTAAGTGCTCCACAACAATATTACACAGCACACTCGAACTCAGGCCCACACTACTACATAAACCAGCAAAAGTGTTTGTAAGCAACAAAATTTTTTCCCGCTCTTAGACTCGAACTCAGATCCACAGACCTAACATTCCAATACTTATACCATTAAGCCAGAGAAGTGGCATGAGTCGAACTCGAGGAAAGGCATAAAAAGATAAATGGCCGATTTATGTAAAAGAAAACCCTTCAACAATCAAAATATCCGGTAGAACCTCCCAAAGGCTCCAGTCCTTTCAGATCAATCAGGGACTATCAATTTTAAAGAAAATCAGCTGAAAGGTTTAATCGCTAGCGTTGAGCACAACCAGATATACGGACAGATGGTCGTATTGCCGTCAATCGATGTTTCAGTATGAAGAAGAAACTAAACATGGATTCTGGCTACTCCACGAATTAGTAAATTTCCCCCCTAAATTTACCAATAGGATTTATCCACTCTTTCGTTACCAGTGTCCGGCTATAAGACTTCCTGACGAACTTTCGCCGTTTCAGGCGGATGATTACATAACTTCCTCTTCTTACGAGGAATTCGTAAGGCGAGAAAGTAAAAAGTTTCCGTCAAAATGATGGGAGGAATTTAAATTCACATATTAAACATTCATTATACGAACTACTGAAGAGGAGAAAACAATTTACTTTTTTTAATGATAAATTTGTTTGTACTCATCACAATTTTGTTTCATCTAAATTTGTTTGGTTTCATTCAAAACTTTCTCTTATTATTAGTATCACTCGCATTCCGTCACCGACCACGGCACGGTCAACATCGCTCCGCGCCTTATCAGCTAAAGTTTCGTTTCTCTCAAATAGTTGTTTAGACTACCTGCGTACTATTCTCTTTGTGCCTCATGAACTGTGTATGCAAATTGTTTTAAAGTGTTTGATATGAACTAGTGAAATCAGAATCAACAGTTGAAGTGATTTCGTAGTACGCGACGGTTTCGGCCATCGCAATTAGGTAACATGTCGACCAAAAATAACCTAGACGCTGCTGACGAAGAAATTATATGTAATATGTAAATAGAGAAGTTAATTCAACAGAGTAAACGAAAATTGTTCCAACTTTATCATCAGCAATGGCATCATGGTGAGATGGTTCAACATTTGCCGCAGTTGATGACCTTCGGTCACCCCAATCGTCAACAGAGCGGGAGGCTGCTCCCCTCGAGATGGACACCATTCCTTAGGGTCAAGATTGTTCCTCTGGTAACAACAGCTACAGCGATTAAATCAGGTAAGTAAAGTGTATTCAAATTTCGATGTTGACAGAAAAAAGTGAATGAAACTAATAGTCGCTTAGGTATGCTTCGACGAAGATATTCTTTCAGTAATCTCGGCTCTGAATTTCAGAAAGCTTAAGAATCATTTATTTTGTCGGGAGTTGACATTAATAACTTTATAAATATGTAGCAAGTGTACAAATATTGGTAAATGTGATGAAAATTAAGTGAATTTGTTGTATTATTATTTAAAATGATAAAAAACAACGAACACTGATCAAGAAAAAAACAACGAATTAAATACTCTCACCTTTACTACCACTATTGTTGCTACGGGACGATTAAACATATATTGTTGTTTACTCTTGGCAAGCTTTCTAGAAGCAATTCTGACCTGCAATTAGTTTTCGAGATGTTTGCAAAAAATGAAAAGTATACACACATTAAATTTTGTTCTGAGAGGAAAGAAAGAGAGACAGCTTCGTACAGACAGTAATTTTTCTCATTATTTGATGTCGTGTGTACATTTCCTTGAACTACAAATAAAACTGTACATTCGTGTGGAATAACAAACAATCCTTCTTTATATTATCCTATATATAAGATGAAATAATAATTTGAAAAAAGTAGTCTTAGTTACAACCAATAAAACACAATCTTTCAGTTATATCCGCATCAAAATCGGTTCATTTGTTCCGAAGATTGTCCAGATAAGTAATCATGAAAATAATTGAATTGGTTTCTAAATCGTGTAAACAAGTGTATGCAATTAAAAATTGCAGGTATTTTGAAATGACGTGCTGCCACTCAAGTTTTATTTTGTATTTGTATAAATGAAATCAAGAAATGTTTTTTCAAAATTTTTGATACAGGTGACTGCAAATCACATCTCAATATATTAATTAAATATATTTGGGGTTATTTATATTGGTCAAATTATTTAGTTTCAATTAAATGATTTATAATTATGTCAAGACTTCGAGGATGTCTCTAAAATTTAGAAATATTTGATATTTACAATAAATAGTGAAGTAAACGTAAGCGGATCGTGAAATAATGAACGTAAATAGTGAAGTAATCAATAGCACTTCAGACGAATTCTGAAAGAAACCTGAGTGTCAAGTATTATCATTAGATATTAATATTGAAAATGATACCTGAAGTTTTCTAGTTTGGTTCATTTCTTAACATTACGTTTAACGTTATACTTGTTGAAAAAGTACTTCAATTGTCTTTCTTTTTAAGGTATTTTTTCATATTTAACTGAATTCAAACATCATTGAACCAATTCTAGTTTCTCTGGATTTTCGGTTTGAGTCTGCCAGTTCAACATTTCGGATCCAATTCTCAATTGCTTATGACGGGTATATAACGTGATAATTTATCTACATGCATTAATTAACCCTTCCATAACAGGATGAATCACAACAGGAGGCATGGTTTTCATTAATGACAGTATGCATGCGTAAGTTAATAAAATACACAAATTCATGTATTTTGCTACAAATGAAGTATGGACATTTACTTGAGATTAAAGACTGTGAAATGCTAAGGAAGAAATATAAATAGATCTTCTTTGTTGAGAATTAATTTGATATGGAGATACTAAAGAGGAAGTACCTTTTTTTAGAATTGGTTTGAAGGGGGGATTTCATTCACATAATACATTTTTATTAAAATCATACAATGTATCGAATGTTGCGACTGTCATTGGCCTTCATCTTCAAGGTCTAATAAATACAAGTGAATACATTATTAATGAAACAATTCTACAATGACAAATTATTTAATTAAATCTATGACAAAACTATTGTGACATAACTATCATAAAAACAAATTGAGAAAAGGTATATAATGAAATATTTTTAATGATAACTAAAAATAAGATAAAAAGCAATTAAAAATATATTTTCATTAAATAAGACCTTTGAGGAAATTGCATCAATTAATAATTTAAATTTTACGTTCATCTGAATCAAATATAAGCAATATTTCATGCAGGTCTAAAATATGAACTCATGTTTTATATAATATTCACAACCTCCTATTATTTAAGAACTAGAATTTAAGGTGAAGGTGGTGGTGATGTTGAAGAAAATTTGTTTCGTGAACAAATTCGTTATGGAATTAGACCCTAAAGATGAAGGATAATGACCTTCGAAACGTGGGTCTAAAAATTACATGATTTGTATTAAAATTGATTATGTGAATGAATGTCTGCCTAAAAAATTAAAGGACCTTCAAACAAATTCTAGACATCAAGAAAGGCAGTCTTATTCTCAATGAATATTTTTTTTCTTTCAAATCAACAGGAAATAACATGGCCGCTAGAATTCTTTGACTTTATGTGACAAATACCGTTAATATTGTTTTTAATATTCTCATCACACGAGGTGAGACCTTGGCAGAGAATTCCTTACACATTTACGTGTACCTTAAATCGCAGCATCAGAACGAACAGCATATTTTAGAACCCAGCACTTTATTTTGCGACTACCGCCTCTTTCACCAGAGAACACACAACACGTTTTTATTTCTCGCGAAGAAACAACACCCATCCATCTTTGACAACACTTCCGCTCCCGCTCTTCCGCCTGTAAGCAGAAAACTTTCTCATAAAGAACAGCGTAATTGATACTAACGACGTCGTCCCGACGCATTTCGCGACGCGACGCAACGCAACGCAAACTCCACGACGCGCCCGAGGAGTCGCGCGTCTCGCCTTGTTTACGCGCACGCACACGAGAGCGTGCCACCCTGTCACGGGCACCGACGGGGCCACGGGCGTTTTGCGCGCAAAGCCAGCAGAAGGTAATGAACCCCGCCAACCAAGAACTCCCCACGCGGGATGTCGCTACGTCGAGGGCGCACCTCCTTTCGCCTCTTGGTTGTCCCTTTACAGCAACTAATTCAATTTCAGTGAATGAGCATTGTGCTGTGTTCATCTTAATTAAAGTATTTTCATTTTTTTTTCTCTTCATCCTGTATTGTTCTCTTCAGGTTTCTTCTTTTATTTCTTTTTAATTTTTCTTGTCTAATCTTTTCTCATTTCCTTCTTTCTACTTACCTTTTTTTACTACCTTTGTGGCATTGTGACTGTTGTCGCTGCAAACTTTTAAGCATCTTTTTTCATTGCATCTTCTTCAGACACTTATTTGTCAAAATATCTCTATTGGTACCCCCTTGTAATAGTTGACAGGCTCAGAGGTTCTCCTGTTTTTATGTGTACATTCTACATATTCGCGTACTTTCATTTATTGAGTATCAACGTATTATTATTTTTTTAGAGGTATAACATACACGCCATTGCGAATTATGAGTATCAATGAATTCTGAAGTAAATGATATCAATGGAGTGTTGCCTAAGACTTAAAAATAACAAGAAACTAATTAACAGGAATTTGACTTCCAAGACAATCCACTCTTTGAGCATTATTATTCCGGTACCCTGAAACATACTTTTAAAGCCTCTGAAGGGCAACGTCTAGAGAAATGAAGACTTCAAGGAAGCGTCGAGAAAGGAATGCTGAATCAGAAAATTGTTCGAGGATAAAGACTCTCTTTGGAAGACTTCTAAATAATGCTATTACCCATTTTGAATTTTTTATGGTGAACTAAAACATTATGAAACTGTACTAAATCCTTGTTGACATTGATTCCAGTGGCAAGGTGTAATCTGCGTTCGTGCTATAAAATTAGTTTTATCACCTTATTATACATATTACTTTCCATGGCGGAATCTAAATTTTGTTCGTGTTACAGAGAAATTCGCGCAAGGTGAGTGCGTGCTAAAGAGTGTTTACTGAATTTTCACTGACACAATTCGAGAAAAGAAGTAAAAAGGGTAGGAATATATTTAAGTAGTAAAATCTTCTATGTCACTGTTGATAGAAAGTTCCTATATTTGGTATTATATTTTAACGAGCTTGCTGTTTAGAATTGCAGTATTTTATGAAGTAACCTTGGCGCGTGGAGAGAAGCTAGAAAAACAAACATATCGTCACAAACGACTATACACTGTGACATAAGATGTGTCCGAATAATTCAAGTTCTAAGCAAATTGTGCTAATTCACCCGAAATCAATGTACATTGTAAATCTCATATATTCCAGAAGATGAAGTTAAACCCACTAATACGAATCTCATCCTATAAGCCCCGGCCTCCGAAACGACACAGTCAACTGCTCTCGCCAACAGAAACAAAGTGACCCTCCCCGGCCCCGCTACCTCCTCCCCCCACCTCTGCCGGACCCGGGCGCGCGCACACAGCCCGCCGAGCCGGTTCTTACGCGCTGTTGCGAGATTTGTGCGGCCGGCGCCGCCGCCCGCCCGCCCGGCCGCGGGCTCAGCGAGCTGAGTAACTATCGACAACAACAACTTCCGCGCGTCATCCCGCACGCTCCGCGAAGCTCCACCGCCGGCACGACACCGGTTCGCGACCGTCCGTCCCAGTGTGCCCGTGTCCGCCCCCCACACCGTCCCGCCCCGCCCACTACCCCGCGCGTCCGCACCGCCACTTGCCCGCCACGCGCAACGGCCTCGGCGTCCGCTGCAGATGTTCCACAGTGATACTAGAGCCCAGCCACGAACATAACAGAATAATATAATTTCCTCGACGTGTTGCCCTTACAGTTATCACGATGTGAAATTGCGAAACACAAGCCGCACACACCTTATGCCTCCATATATTTCATGCGCTTTGCAGCGCGCTGAACCAAATGACGGCTATTAGCGGTAACCTGCCCGCAAGACGCGGCGGACTACGAGTCGGCCTCCGCCGGGCCACACGGGCTGTCGAGGGGCGCGGCGTGCCGGGCGGCAACTTGGGCCCGGGGCAGTACGAACAGCGGAACTTGACAAGGGCGTTTCGGGAGAGGGCGGCGGCGAAGGCGGGGTGAGATACTCCGGTGGCAGCGGCGGCGGGAGGGCTGTGCAGGGCTGAGCGGCTTTGTAAGGGTGAAAGGATAGGTCGTGAAGAGCAGGGTGTGGGGGCGGCCCTGGGGAGATGGCGACC